CTAATTTTTGCTTATGTGCTTTTTGGAGGCCCTAGTAAAGGAACCTCCAGCAGTCGGTGTCATAGTATAGCGTCTCGAACACTTGGTAAGTGTGTTTTCCCCAATATAGCCCCTTACATAACCATACTATATAGCACCCTCTCTCATACTCTTGTTACGCATACATGCCCTTAAAATAGCCCATCTCAGTAGACGCCGAGGTGACGCCCGATGATTGCAAGGCCAAGGTCCACATCCTCTACCAGACCGTGGAGGAAGCAGAAAGTAGAGCTTCGGAGCGTTAGGGCAACGTTGGGGGGCTCAGGGGAGGTTTGATGTTCATTTACAGTTATGGTTTTTCGCGAATATATATTTCTGGGGTCTACTCTAGCGAAACAGCGCTGAACGACTGTCGCAGGACCTCCACCGTGCACTGCCACACCACAGCGGTGATTGGCATCTCGGTGAAAGTGGGTTCCGCAAGGAGTCTGAAGAGGGATATTTTGCTAAACTGGGGTCCCTGTAAAGTGCGCATCAGAACATTGGTATAGTTAGGTAAAGTCAGGACCCAGAGACCGCAGATGCACGGATGAAGGCCCATCAGCAGACGAGATTAAGACATGTACAAATCCCCTTGCACGGGAATTCCGGGGCCTCATTCCTTTCTATGTGATCTTCATACGACTTTTCAGCATCAGGTATTTTACCGGGGACTACCCGACCCCTGGAGGCAAGGAGAGTGTCAGCAGATTTCCAGATCTGTAGCCAAAAGTGGCTTTAAGCTGCTAAACTCAGACGGGTTCGTTGGGTAACGGCGAGAGCCTCTGAAACAAGATGCCGTGGCCAGCGGGCACAGATATATCAAACATCTCTGCTGTATGTATGTATGTATATATGCATGTATGTATGTACGTACATGCATGCAAACATCCGTCCATCCGTCCATACATTCTTCAGCCCTTGAACTGAAGAGGCGCTCGAGTCTGCTGTCGCGCGTTTGCCCTCTGGATGGAGGGAAGCAGCCAGGGACTGAGGTCTGGCGGCTTGAGACTAAACATATTATAGGCGAAAAGTAGTTTTTCCCCTACAATATGTTTAGTGCTTTTCTTCGGAGCGCTTCCAAGATGAGACCTGAGACGCTAGGCACAACCGCCCGGAGCAGCAGTAATTTTTGGGGGAGAAAGATTATATATGATCTTCTTTGCTGGCAACAGGCGCTTGCATTTCCCACTCTGCCTGACCGGTTCATTGGAGCTTTTTGTTCTGGCATGGTGCTGCGCCGGACAATCGTTGCCGACAGCTTGTCGAAGCAAACGCTCCCTGGGATAACTTATCATGTGGCGTGTATCTGTATCTGTGCATGTATCTATCTTCATCTATGTCTTTACCTATCTATCTATCTATCTATCCATCCATCCATCCATTCATCCATCTAACCATCTATCAATCTGTCCATCCATCGATCGATCTATCTGTCCACCTGTCAATGACTCTATCTGTTTCTATATCGGCAACTATCTGCCTAGCTACCCATCTGTCTACACCCTCGTCCCTTGCGAGCCGTTGGTTGCGAGCACCATGTTGGTCACCCTCTTTCCCCTTAGGCCAGCGCTGCTATGGCATCAACTCGGCTCGGGACCTAGAGCTGCTTTGCAGGGTTTACAGTTGGTGGGTTTGGGATGGAGTTCTCATCAGGCACTGTTGGATACCGTCTGGCCTTTCTGCGACGGCAGTCCCACAGCCCGCGGCTGCTTCCCAGATTTGAGATCCAACGGTAAGGTGTGGCCGGACTCCACCATTTTGCAACGCCCCATGTGTTGTATATACAAACATCTTCCAGCAAGGGCCCAAGTGCACCTGCAGTCCCACTGCCGCTCGAGGCCTTGTCCTTCCTGCGAGCACGCCGCCCGGTGCTTGTGCTAGGCACAGCCTCCGACTGCAGCTGATGTAACAGGGATGGGAGTCAGTGGACATGGCCTCAGCGTTCCCGGAAACCCGCCAGGAAGCCGAAACGATATTGGCCCCGCGCCTTCCATGAGAGACTTGAGGGAGACCTCCGACAGTTGACTTTAGCCTCACCCACCGCTAAAATCTGATCGGAATGTGTAAGCCCTAAACCCTAAACTCTTAACCCTTGAGCCGTTGCTGGAATCTCTCAATCCTGATGCCGTGAGACGATTTCTTCTGAAGGCTCTGGTGCCCGGGAGCACGCACTCGCCTGGAAGTTGAGCAAGAGCCCAGAGGCTGCAGCAACGGGAGTGATTGCCGGAACGACATGATAACATCACCAGGAATGGCAGTAGTGGCAAGAGTCCTGGCGGGCCGTTTTGCAAGCCGTGGACGGCATGGTTCCTTGTGTCGTGTTGAAGCTGGGGTTTGCCGTCTCTTCGTGTTCGCGTTCTTGCTCCCATTACTTGTGTCTGGCAGCAGATAGGCACGCACAGTCCAGTGAATCATGCGGGGCACAGCGGGCAGGGCTTTCAGCTGCAGCTTCAGCTCATCAGACCTTGCCAGGTCAGTGTTGTCTTCGTGGGCCCCGGAAATGGTGGCATCGGCAACTCATACGGACAGGTCCGACAGAGCTGGGCTTTCGACCTGACATCCGTAGCTGCTACTTCTTATCATGCGTAGCTATCTCTTTATGACCATTATTGCTGTGCCAGGTCCGACCGCCCGAATTCCGAGCTCGAAGCACCTAAGTCCTACGCAAACAGGCCGAGCGGCAACCCGTGACTTACAACCCGACAAGCCCCTAAACCCTAAACCCTAAACCCTAAATCGTAAACCCTAAACCCTAAACCCTAAACGAAGCAAAAGGTTGATCGCAGCCTTAAGGCTTCTCAAAGCCCAAGCTCCCACAACCCAGAGAAGCCTTTCCGACTGTCCATAATATAGGGGCCCTAATAACCAGAATAGGGTCTTGGGGTATATTCTACTATACTTATAATAAGGAACCCCCAAAACCCTATTCTAATGATTGAGGCCCCTACATTAAATGCCAGAGGTTCACACTTTCTGCTGCCGGCCTTGAGCTTTGGCGACAGGGAAGCAAGGCT